GCCTTTCCAGGCCCTTCAAACAGACCAGAAAACCCGACAAGCAATGACCACTTGCAGTGTCCTGTCCAAGACAGCTGATGATGATGATGATGATGATGATGATGATGATGATGATGATGATGATGATGATGATGATGATGACTAAATTGCTGTCAGGTGAAAGGCTGGCTCAGGTGATTGTGATCCTGCACTTCTGTCACTGGAGGTTTCTGCTGCTGAAACTTTGAAGACTTAAGTAAACTTCTGTGTAGCATTTACGTTTTTTGAAAAAATTCTTTCACTTAGGATTTTTTTCCTGAGAAGCCTCAGAGAAAAGGAAACCAATTCTTATCTCATTTGCTTCTCTTGTATTTTGCTCCTTTGGAATGTGTTTAGAGATTTTTTACCCAAAGGTGATTGTTTCATTAAATTCTGCTGTGAGTTGTTTTGTCTCATTGGCCAACCTGTTTTGAGACTCTAAAAAGAGTTACAAGTTCTTATTATTTTTAACACTGAGTAAGTATCTTTTCTGTGTTCTTTAGCATAGTTTATTATAGTATTCTTTAATATAATATAGTATCATAAAGTAATAAATTAGCCTTCTGTTTTGTCTCATTGGCCAACCTGTCTTGAGACTCTAAAAAGAGTTACAAGTTCTTATTATTATCTTTTTAACATTGAGTAAATATCTTTTCTGTGTTCTTTAGCATAGTTTAGTACAGTATTCTTTAATATAATATAGATAATAAAGTAATAAATTAGCCTTCTGAGAACATAAAGTCAGATGCATCATTCCTGCCTTCATTGGGGCATTTCTCTGCAAATACAATACTTCTGCTTCAGCCCAGTTAAGTGGGTTAGATATTAAAGCATATTTATATTTATATTTCTCCATGAGAGTGTAAAAGAGATATGATATATTGTTGTTACTGGTTGTTTCCTAATTAAAGTTTAAACTGACTGCTATCCACTTAGCCTCTCTAACATTGTTTGACTGCCAACAGCCAAATATACACTCATTTAAAAGGTCACTGAGGCATCTTGTTCATAACTCTTTTGGACTGGGCTGACTCTCCAATAATTTATACAGTCTCAGGAGATGCATTTACCAGTGCCACTGAGTTTCCTACGGGAACTAAAAGATCAAGAGTGCAAGACAGCAGTTTTCAATTTCAGTTTCAATCCCAAAGATTCCCTGCTACTGTCAGCACTAAATCTGCTGGAACATCTTTATTTCCAAATGAAAGTTAACTTTTGCTTGTCTTCTTGTTCCCATCAGTTTCTGTAGAGAAATGGTTTGTTTAAAAGAGAAAATACTTTCCCTTATAATTTAAAAATTTTGTCTGGATATGAATGTAGTAGAAGCAGAAAATAGAATGAACATGAGCAGA